ATATATATATATATATAAGTATCTGGCAACAACCAGTAGTCTACAAAAATAACAAAATCTAACTCCAAGCACCACCTATGGCTCCATTGCTATTCTCCAACCTATCCTTGCCCTGCTCCCATACCATGTATGATCATCGCAATCCAAATCATATGGAAATATGCAAGGGTAAGCTAGGTAAAATAAACAACTCATAATTAATTATGCAACACATCAACACATAAAATCATTTTCTCATTCAACACCAGCAACAAACAACACATATACTACACATCTTAACATCACTTCAACAACACATGAATCAACATTGTATCAACACATCAACACATATGTGTCGTCACGCATTTCAACTCGGAGATCTCCTACAACATAGGGTGAGTAGTCTAAGTGGCTAGGTCCTACCGAATCGACAACACAGAACCTTTTTGGGCTTGCTAGGTAAACAACAAATTTGGATAATAATCCACAACACGATAACGGTTTCTCAAACTTTGCTACTTAAACAAGGAAGTATAGTACTTTGTCAGGATAGGACAGCTGGGTTTAGGCCTACCATGACATTAGCTAGCTTAACTAAGCTACCTATGGGATTAGCCTACTGACTATCCTCCAAATACTACAACCCTCTGATACTCAGTTAGGAATTAAGTTCCCAACTTCGTACTTTACTCGAATTTGGTCGCTTGTAATCGGTATAGCTCGACTTGACCCTTATACCGTGGTCGCTTCATACACGTGTGTCTCGACCTTGCTCACACACGGGATCAACTAATTCCTAGAGGAGAACAACACAAAATCCGCTCCAAGGGACAACTTCCCAAGGACAGTTTTTCAACAAATTTGGGCTCTCAAACTACCACAACTATCTCAATCCACACAATGAGATGAGCAACTTCAAAAAATTCTCCTCTAGTCCTCGTGATCAACAACTCATCATCACAGCACAATCAACACAGGTTTCAACTCATCATCTAAATCAACTTTCAACTTGAATAATGCAGGTAACTCACAACTTTAACAACACAATTTAACAACACAAACACTCATTCAATTCATACATATAACATCTCTACACAAATACACAACTAAGGTTCAACATACAACTCTCAACTTGCAACTATGTCTTCTCAACATACTACAATATTCATCATTTTTCAATCATAATACCGAACATACTCACGCCCGACGCAAGTCAGTTTGTGCCTGGCCTGAACCCAATCCGAGAGTTCTAAGGCTCTTTCATGCCCGGTGTAGCATTATTACGCCCGACATCCTTGTAGGTAGAGACTCCTAAGAGTCTCCACGCCTGACGCACACATCCTGCGCCCAGCGCCAAATTAGACAGAGACCTATAAGGGTCTCCACGCCCAACGCACCCACCCTGTACCTGGTGCCACATCAGTAACACGAGCATACAAGGCCACTATCTTAATCACACCCGACGTGGCTCTCCCCACGTCCTGCGTGACTCATCTAGAGACTCCTATTTCAATTCGTGTTTGGCGCGACTAACCTTGCGCCTGGCGTGATTTGGCAATGGTAGTCCCTGATGAATGCACGCCTAGCGCCAAAAACATGCGTTCGGTGCAAATTCAAACAACAACCTCCAAAACTCCAAAAAAATTGCATCAAAACCTGAAAATCAGCAAATCCAGCCACATGCAATCCATGAAATGAAATACATAGGCTCCATACAACTCAAAAACAAACTCAAATTCAACATGCAACCACTTAATGCATCAAAGTCACAAAAAAAAACCCATTTTTTCCTAAAACCCCTAAAATGAGGAATCATCCAATTCAACTATTTCTTCTCAAAATTCATGCACTAATTGAGTTCCTAAACTAACATGCAATCAAACAACCTACATCCTAGCTTCCCTCACTTGAAGATTGGCTCAGAATAGCCAAGAAGAGGAAGAAGAATAAGATTTTCCCCTAAAACTCAACCCGCGGACTTCAATCCTCCAAAACAAGCTTCCTCGCCTGAATTTCAAGAAAAGACAGAAGGAATTAGTGATCTAGAGAAGAAGAAGAATCAAACAGAGAAATTTGGGAGAGAAAGGAGCTCACGGACTCAGAGTCCTTCTCTCTAAAACTTCTCTCTAGGTTTTTTTAAGAATGATCTTATGAGGATCTATTCTCAAAGAAAACCTTATATACTTTTCTCTCTAGCATTCACTAAAATTCTGAATCAACTTACTACGTTACACTAAATATACGATATATGTTGATATATTATTAAAAATGTATGTATAGGCAGGCTATAATAACACATAACATATGTT